AAAATACAGTAAGCAAACTGATTTATAGGCTTGAAAAGAATACGATTGATTGATACATACCTCAAGCCTGCATACATGTTGTCCAAGTTCCCGTTGTGATTCTGGAAAGCTGGTAACATCACATTCGTAGGTGAAGCCCGAAACGATAAGGGTGGCTCCCAGTAAGAGGAGAAGCATGTCAAATGACAATATCGTCATCGGCTCTCCTTATGTACCTCCTCGTCTCCGCCTACCACATCTTGACAACCAATAGAGAGAAGGCTCGGTGCTTGGGGGACGTTTACCTTAAGAAACATTCGTCCAAACTTCTGAAAATCATTGTGCGATAGGAGATAAAGTCCAATGGAAAATGGAATATTAGAAAGAAGCAGTCAGGAGTTTTGAATAAAAGCAAATTAACTCTTTTTGCGAAAACTTTCCTTAAATGATTTCCAACAAGAAATGCTACATAATATTTCACTTTGTTCAAGAATTACAGACTTAAGATTCAATACAGTACCTTGTATGCATTTATTATCACCAATCTCGACAAAATCACCTGCGCTAACACAATTTCACCCTTTTCAGCATTCCTATCCATATCTTGAGAAGCAAATAACGAGCCTTGAGTTTAACCAAAGTATCAAGCGTAAAGTTGGTAGATTTAATTACTCTGACAAGGAAACGGTAACAATACCAATCCAATATATTAGCCAATTGTACTGCAAAGGCTTCATGGCGTGACAATGCATTCGTAATGTCATTCTTCCCTTGGTGAAAAGCATATTTATCAAATGAAAATTGTGCCAGAACTTCACATATATACATACACGACGTATAATATTGAACTCTATGGTGATCTTTAGCTGGATATCTCAAGAACGCAGCAATATTCCAGGAACTTTGCATGAATCACTTCATATTCGATGAACTACTGAAAGGCACTATACTGTAGGTATAGCGTGTAACTTCCGTGCAAAAAGCAATGCGGAAACTCCTCACATATTATCACACCTCCAGATATCTGCAATATTATCGTAGGAGTATCTGATCACCTTGGCCAACGCAGCTTGCATCAACTTAATGCATGCAAATAAGTGGTGATGCACCCTCTACTCGTACTTCTAACACCAGCTCTCATTCGTATTCCTTTCAAAACCATAACTTCATCTTATTAATTCGTTTATTTATTCGATAGCAAATTCACAACCTCTAGAAAACAGCACAAGGATCGGGAATGTCACTGTCGTAATCACTTCAATGTAATCATATATATCAATTTTCAAACGTTGCACGCCATAAGTAGCTCGTACATTTTGGCTCAGACTCCGGAAAACAACAAAACATCTACACATAAATATTACGTTGGCAAGCGAATTATGCACAATATTGGAAGTGAAAATAGGATACGCGCAAGACCTCTTCTAGACACTGCCATGTTCTAAACAAATTTTTCGTAAAATGTGAGAACTAAGATGGATAGATTAAAGTTGTGCAACGCATCGGAATCTTTGGCAGGGGTTAGAGGCGATGGTATTATTTTTTGAAACAAACGAAGAAGAGGAATGGAGAATAGATCGGCGACTAGATTGCACATATTATATAAATATTATTCATATTGTACAATGATGAGAAGTGCAGAAGACGAACATCACAACAACATCTACACGGACTAGTAGAGCTTCAAATAACATCTAAACATTTCCAAAAAGACATAATTTCCAAAGATACAATTGAATACATAGATATCAACTAGCATACTCAACAGTAATATATCCAGTAATGCACATATTAATAAAGTTTACCTAATAGACTAACAGACTAGACAAGATGTGTCATGTTATATACTGATGGGAGGGTTCGAAACTTTAAGCTTGCGTCTGCACCGCAAGAAAAAAGTCGAAGTTGTTGGTCAATATACAGTTGTTGCACACCTTGTACGGTCGACTGCGCAACTAAAGATATATCGAGTTCTTATAAAAGCTTCATTTAAGTTCCAAAATTTATTTAAAAGTCTGCAATGATACTTTGAATCTCTGCAAGAATCTTCGAACAGATTTTAATGAATGTCAATGCAGTTTTCGCATTTCAAAAACGTTCACCTCTATGAAAACAAGAAGATGTCACACACATACCCTATTTTTTAAAAAATGCTAAAGCAGTATTGAAAAGTTTTCTAATACAAAGAATCATTTTTTCCACAATTTTTCGAGAGCTGGAATAAATCTTGCTTTTAAAAAATAAACAAACCTTGTCTGAAAGAGAATCCGCCTTTGGCTGCGTGCTCGCCAGGGAGGGAGTACATCAATTGCGGATTCAAATCAGCAGACCATATCTATGTGATGCAGACATGATAATCACAACACGAATTACAAGCCTTCCTCATCTTATTACCTTTATATCACCATCACTTGACCCCGCAACAATTAAATCCTGAGTATAGTCAGTAACTAGAGTCTTCACAATCTGATGGGACTCGAACGCCTTTATTGTGCCACGCAGTTGACGTTGTCGTATATCCCACAAGCATAATTCGCCGTGTCGACCACCGGACACGATAGTCTAGAAATTATACCAATAATAATAAGAAAGGGCATTTATATGTAGTGCTTAGTGCTGCTGCTCAACAATAAAAAAGCAAAACGTTTTCTGTAGAACAAGCATGACTTTCCAATAAGCGTCAGAATAGGAGAATAACAATTGTCGTCTATCGAATGAACTTCTCAGTAAGCCTTGCATTGATATTATTAATAAACTACAAATCCTTTTTTCAAATATAGACTCATGAGCATAGGGTGGAGGCGAACATACTCAGAGCTATAATCATGATAATCTGCTGAGATAAAATCACCCAAAGAACTAGGATCATTGCAAACGCAATTGAAAACAAAACATGATCTTTGAAAGATTTTCGGCCAAAAATAGGAAGATTAAAGAGCAATCCTAGGCTTGCACAAAACAACTATAAACTCCAGAGATACTTTCGAAAAACGAAAGCTTTGACAAGGAAATCAAAAGAAACAACCGCAGAATAATAAAGCCAACAAACGCAGTGAGTTTCCCTCCACCAAAAATGATTTTTTTGAAATCAAGTGCACTGATGAATTTGTAAAGATATTTGCAACTTTAAATAATTCCCACTGACTATATGGTACTTTTTGAAAAGATTAGCCCAAAAATGTAATCAGGAACGAACTTTGATTCAAAAGTATACTATTAAATTCTATAAAAAATGCTCAAACTTACCTAGAGATGCTTTTTGAAAATTTCTATTTACAACGATTAATCTAATGGGCTTATTCTCCGATTAAAGTAGGGAAATAAATGGTTGCAGATATCAAAAATGATGTTCTATCTCCCAATTTTACACTGAGTTAATCAATTTCAGGGTTCGAAAAGTGCCCATTAAACGAATAAATTACGCAATTTTGGAAAATTTCCAGTTTTATGGAGAAGCACTTCTCTACGATAAGAGAAAAGGATTCTAGTTCACAATGAGGGGTGGCCAGTGGGTAAGGGAATACAATTGTGGCGAAATCATCTAAAAGCTAGGGAGCTGAACAATCCACATTTACAGCGAAGCTAGAACTGATTCTACACCACAAAGGTTTTCTATCTCCATTCGCACTTCTAGAAAGCAACGTAGTTTTGTTGAACTTTTGCAAAAAGTAACGAAACTAGCATCTTTCTTTTACAATCAAAAGCTCCCCTTCCCTGCAATGTCTGTGCTGAGAAGCATTTTCAAAATTAATTTTCAAATGAGGTAACAACTTACTTGCTGGTTGGGCATGTACATGGCCACTGTTGCTCCTTCGGGATGGGACACCCAAGAATGAACAAGAGCTCGACTCTGGGGCAGCAATGTATCCCAAAGGGCTAGATTAAACTCTCCGGATGAAGCTCCTGCTGTTATAAGCACGGAAGAGCTGTGACCAACGAACCTTACGTCAGATGCTGATTTATTGTGGCATCTTTGACTCTAAAATGCACAAAATGCTCAAAGCATTGAACGGAAAAAAAGCAGTTCTTACAAAGAAGGGTTTTTTGTGCTCAGTTGAATGGCTTGCTTGCCAAAGGCACATCAATCCGTCCCCATCTACAGCAGCAAATTTGTTGCCGTTGCACGAGAAGGATATCTTTGCAACCTGATAGGAAGAGTTGAAACATAGAAAACTTTTGCATCCAAAAAAGGAAAAAACCTTGGCATGTTGGCCAGCTACACGAGCGGTGTACACGGGTTGTCCAACGCTCCATTCCCACACCCTGATCGAACCGTCCGATGATCCAGTCACGTCTAATGCAGAAGTTCTTACAAATATGACACTTCTGAGCTATGTTCCGCCTCTCAACTTACAAAATGGCGCTGTTGGATGAGAATCTATCCGTCGGATTCCACTGATCGTTCGTTTAAACATCTATGGAAGAAAATTATCAATTTGTGATATACAAACTTCCTTAAAAACCTATCAAAAGCTACGGGTACCATAACCAAAATTAAACTGTCACTGACACAACACATCATCCCCTACCTTTAGAAGTCCAGCTCTACTTCTATCAATAATCCAAGGAGTTAACTGCTGCGAAAACACGGCTCAGTTGGTGATGCAATTTTGAAAGAATTATCGAAAACATACCATATTCGCAGTTTTGGGTCCTTGGGCTTGTTGTGTACCTTCTGTGAGCAATTGGTAGTCATCGCTCTCCTTCAGCGGATCGCGGCGAGTTGTCAAAAGGCTCACCTTGACGATTAAAACAAAGATGAAAGTTAAAAGACAAGCTAAATCAAATCGCGAACATCTAGCTCTGTTCGATTGTACAGCCAAGAGGATGCATTGTTCGATTCTTCAAATATGCCAGATATATCCATCTCTTGTAATTCCTTTCCAGTAGAAACTACCAACCATCCAGGCTTCTCCTTCAATAGAAAAATGTTTTAGAAGAGAAGAGGGTGCATTACAACATGAATCACGCATATCTTGCATTATCGACTAATCAAAATAGCCCTATAACGATAAATCAATTCACCGATAAAGGCTTTTGAAATGTTATTCGGCAGCTTCTACTTTTACCTTCAAGACTTAAAGAAAAGAAGCGGAACAAAAATTACTCTTTGGCATCTTAGATTGTTGCACCACATAAGGTGAACAACTACAATCCGCAAACCCAATCTTCCCCCTCCCGTTCTTACTAGCTATGATATTAAAATTTTGGTCTCAGGAAGTATTACCTGATTACAAGCAAAGGCGACAATTGGTTCATTGTCTTTTTGGATGATTTTAAAAGCGTCTGGAAGGGGTTGATTCTCAATTCCAGCTAGTGTATCATTACGTTCGGCCGGTTGCTCCTAAGAATAACAATATCGTATACATGTTAAAGAAAGCGCAAATCCCGGCAGAAACCTGCTGTCCTTGTGACGCGAATATATGGCGAATAAACAAATGTTGGAGATGATCTTGGTTAACCATGTAAGACCACAGACGTTGAAGGGGTCCAGCTCGAGGATCCTCGGACTCGAATGGCGTGTTATTCTTCTCCATGAGAACAGCGTACTTTCTAAAACATTAATGAAAGATACATTTTCAAGTTTGCATCATAACTAGATGAAACGTACTTGGATGAAACATTAAGGTGATCACTAGGATCCAGCGTCATATTTGGAAGCAAGTCTATAGGGCAACCTCCGCGGTACGTCTGAAGACCATGTCGCAACTGTATCGACCACCCATCAAGAAGGCGCAGAACGGCTTCGACACGAGGAGCTAGAGCAGGAACATCTGCAACAGTAAAAAGATTTCATGCAAAGAGTGTTGTTAAGAGAAGCTTGAATAAACAATAACAGATAGAAATTACCGTTAGGATCAAACCCTGCTAGCATCAAGAATTGTCGGATCCTGTGAATTTGTTGTTCAACGAGAGCGAGTCGAAGTAGTTGCCAAGCATAAGATGTAGGATTAGCGTTTTCGCACCTGAACATACCGCTAGGTGCCGAAAACACGAAACAATAATTCGTGAAACAAAGATTTTCCTCACCAACAAAACGACTATTCATATTCGACTAGCTTTTAGATTAGATTCTATCACAGAGAAATCAAGGACTATATATTAGAGAAAGTGTCTTCTCATTCTTATTGCCTTCTTCTAAAAAAATCTCAGCAGCGTTGTACAGCACTGCATAAATACTAAACATGATTCACTGGGTTATGCTATGACCAACACCTTCACGGTTTACTTATTTATGAACTAAATGCAGAAAGATGGATTTGATGAACCTGTCATCCTCCATTTCACTCGTGGTGCTTCCCTCCGTTTCATCGTCTGAGTTGAACTCAGCACCCAAGTCGTCCTTTGTGTTCAAAGGAGGCTGAACAGTTAGTCATTATGGTCCTTCAAAAAGTCAAACGCTTTGCCTTACCTTATCTGCAAAAAATTGTACAATATTCTTTTGAGGCGGCACCCATTTAGTAACAGTTTGCTCAAGTATCGGGGAAGAACGGAGACTTGGTGTACCAGAGGGGGGAGTCTCAGCTCCAAACACCTAAAGTGGAATTGGATGAGCCTGTATTCCTCACTACAATTCATAAATGCTCCACGAGCCTACCTTAGAATGGAGCTTCGACCGCAACAATTGCGC